CCTGTTTCAACAACAAACAACAACAACAACAACTTCACGAATATAATATGTACAAGTTAATTACAGTCCTACAAATRGTGTAAAGMTAATSGAGGCAGGACAGTAATATTATTATAAAAATTAATCATTATTACCTTGTGTTTTCTTGCCATCRATCCTATCGGCCRCWATACTGGAYAATGGCTCAGGTGTYTTTCTTGTCAGACTAGGGCTTGGAGTGTTAGACCTCTTTGGTTTTGAAGTGGGAACGTTACTGTTCAGAAACTCAAATAGCTGCTGGTCATCATCTTTGCTATCTTTTCTTAATTGCTTTGAATGCGGTCTAGTAGTTGATGGGGGTCTTGCCTTGATAGGTGCTGTGGGACCTGGTCCTAAAGAAATAATATTATATAAAATGAATAACACAAATAAATAATGGTCATTGCTAAAAAGGTAACTTTTCCTGATGAAAAGAACTCAAGATGTGGTCAGCTACATCCTCTAAGGAATAAATCAGTTTTGAATTTGGCAATGATTTAGTTCAGAAGACTTTTATATCTTTGTCCCTTGCCCCTGAGTCCCTGCCCTTGCAGATTTAGCATTGATAGGTGCATTAAAGGCCCAGTTTGCACCATTATGCTTCCATTATGCTTATGTTAAGATTTTAGACAAAAAATACTTCTAGTGTCCAAATCTCACCATAAAAGGAATATCCCATGGTTGAAAACTCTAATATTAGCTTTGAAAGTGATTAGAAAAGTGAGATGGTCAAGATATGAGCAGATTAAAAACGTACAGTACAGTGTTCAGTATAGACTTTTAGTAAACTGAAAATGGCCCCCAAAGCATAATGGTGCACACTGGGCCTTTAATAGGTGCATGTTTCAAAATCACTCTCTCTCTCTCTCTCTCCCTCTTCAGTGTTTGTCTGCTTTAGCAGAGTGGCACTTTTAAATATTATTCTGGAATGAAGACAAACAGATTGATTGTTTAATTGAAATTGTGCTTATTTCTTACTCAGTAAACTGCCTTCACTAGCAGTTCTTGATATTCTAGGTTCATAGCCAATCTCATCATGGCTTTGTTCAGGTTCTTCTCTTGTGTTYACATCCTTTTGCTCAGCTTTTTCATCTCTTTGTAGAGCTGTTGCTGCTGTATTGTCAACTTTTTCAAGGAGAGACTCAGCCTTCCCTGCCAAATCACTCAACCATGACATGACTAGAAACAAAGTATCAAAATATCAACCAAATAATAATAGCAATCATCATTGTCATCATCGTCATCATCATCATAATGCAATAGGCAATGTGAAGAGATGTCATTTTGTGCAGCAAAGCATGATGGTAGTCCTCTCTCCTTTTTGTAAGCCCTTGTCCCTAACAGCCATTTCTATGTTGGAAAACAGTATTACACGTACTACTCCTATTTTTGCTAAAACAAACACAAAACTGCTTTGGAGGACTGTTCTAGCAGACATAAAAAAGTGCAAAGACTACAACTTCCATCATGCTTTGCTGCACAAAATGGCATCATTACACATTGTCTATTTGTTGATGCCAGAAGGAAAGTGCTTATTACATGTAAGGACAAGGTAATTCCAAAGTCCCAGTATCACCCTGGATGCTGCAACTCAAGCTTCAAAATTTAGATGGCTAAACCAACCAATCAATTCTTTCTAAATAAAGACTAAACTCCTGCAAAGCATCCAGGCCTATAAGCAAAAATATATAATGCTGCCTGAAAATATGTGTAATGCACACATGCAATATTTTTTAGACATGCAGCTTCCAATGCATCCTTGAAGTCCTGTATCACCACCATCATCAAGAATCAGAAAGATTTTATCACTGAAGCCTTATAGAATTATAATGTTAACATACAGTTTTTTTGTTTACATCTAAAAGTAAGATAAAGAAAGGACACAAAGAAAGGCTTATGAAAAAAGTACATGTAACTTATATACTTTACATGTAGTGGGTGATTTCTAAGCCTTTTTGAGTGTTTTGTATGATAAAATGCAGCTTAATGTATTTTTTTAATTATTTTATGAAATAGAAAGTTACATTCCCTACACAGAATGCTTTTTCTGGTGAAATATTTTAAAAGTTGAGGTTAGAAGACAACCAGATAATGAGAAGGAAGGTAAGCTAACATCTTTACTGTAAGTAAAGATATTCGATCATCAGATTTAATATATTATATATTTGACCAAAATATGGCAATGCAAAAGTGATTTGCCTAAAAAATAAATTGCCTACTTACAAAACTGACATTAATAAACAAAGTCTTGTTTAAGCTTCGTCGTTCAAGCTGTTCATGTATCATTGATGTTAATATTTTTCGCTTGGCCACAGCTTATTCAAGTTAGAAATCAAACGTGCAGTTAACACAATTTATGCTAAAACTTACTTGAGTAAAATCAATGAAAGAAGAAGTTCTTCTCTTGTTTTACTTTAGTGAACAAACGGAATATTCATTACATTTTCACAATCAACAAATTTCAACTTCATACGTAAACATCCGCCATCTTGGATTGAGACGTGTCGCCCGCTTCTGCGCAATGTCGCACAGGAGCGACCGCTGGGCATCATAAGAAGTTGCTCGGCAACTCACTTTTGTGCGCAAATCAAAAATTCAGAAAATTGGCTCCTAAAAATTATTATGATTTTTTTGCTACTAGTCTATACGTTTTACGTTCTCATTGTGCAAAACTAAAGATGCATGGATTTTTTTATCTTAGACATTTGAATGATTGAAATGTCATTCTCATGTGTTTTAATGCAACATGGCCGCCAAAACCCGCAAATGGAACTACGCCCCAACTACACAGTTTACAAGCTTAATGATCTTAACTTGGCAGAAATACAGAAGATTCTATAAAATTCATGTGATTTGGAAACAGTAAGCATCTGAAATTTGAGACAAGGTCATTTTGTATGCAATATAGTGCGTGACAAACATTTATGTCATGCGATGCCTTATTCAAGATTGACTGCCTTCCAAAGCCTTTCCGTTTGCATAAAAACATGAAATGGAAGATTCAGTGACAAAAAGGATTCTAAATTCKTTTTATGTGCTTTTKAGCGTCGTAGGACAAACTGGTCAAAATGTTATATTACCTTTGTGGATTGACTCAGGTCGGCCGAGAAAGACGACTAACGCAACGATCTCGAACAACACAGATGAATTTCGACCTTTTATGGACCAAACTTTTGTTTCGACGTTTACAACAATCTGCATAGCAATTCTATATGGTACTRCGTGGGCCATCAGAGCTCTCTGCTTCACTAAAAGCAGTGATCAAAGGTTTAATTTTAAACTGATACCTTTAAAATTGTTAGCGTTGACTAGTTCGTGTGGTACAATCACCGACAATTTGATTATGTTTTCCGCAAGTGGAAAAAGAACAGCTCCTTATCTTCAAGCAATATTAACGAACATTACTATTCCTGCAACATTAGTGTTAAGGTAACATACTTTCAGCATTCGCATAGAGTTTTGAGTGCTTATGAATGAGAATTCCATCAGCGCGTACCAAACGAGTTACAACGAGCGTCACAAAGAATTCAAGAGAATCCTCTATCACAGAGTCCCCAACTGTTCATATTGAGTTACTTTGAGCACCGTCATTTAACGCCGTTATCTGAAATTTCGTCGGCCATTTTAACGATCGATAAGAGAACGTACTGAATGCGTTTTGCCAAAAAGCGTTTAGTTTTTTTTCCTACGTAGAAGCAGAATAATTTTATGTCTTTTATTTATATTTATTTATTTATAAGCAATATTTTACCAGGCCACCCAATTCAGCGTAGGCTGGWTTAAATGGGGGCCCTTTTCTAAGAACGACAGCAGAATGGAAGTAAAGAATACAAAAATCATTTGTAGAGAATACAGGAAAGAGATTAATAGAGCGCATTTCGTTGAATGTACAAAGGCACGGAACACAGCATGGACACGACATGGCACGGTCACGGAACCTCGCTTGGTAGTAACGCCGTATAAAATGGTGATTCAAAAACACATCGGTTACTGCTCGATAGTGGCCGTGTCATCATAAGAGCGCGCTGTCAGGGTCTAGTTTTGTACAGAATATTATAGATCACTATGCATTGCACACAAATAATACTTCCGGATTAAGATCTAGATTCAAACAAGCGGCTTTGTCGCAGGTACAGAAACAAAAAGAAGGCAATTATTGCATGGTAGCTATATGTCGCTCTAACCTCTTCATTTCTTTTAAAATTCCTATCAAGATATTGCATTCTGAAAAAGTCTCCAACCAGGAAAAGACTTATATGTGCCATAGTAACAGTTCTGTCGTTATTCCTGTGTCTTCTGCCGTCCATTTTACCTGGAATTGACCGAAAATCCAGGAACAACAAAGTGCAAGGTGGTGCTAGGGGAATTGCTGGAATCATATGGCCTTTGATCTTTCTTGCTGCCTTTGTGAGTATTTATAATGACACTATGTGACTTGACAAATATACGAGAAAAATCTAGATATATAGGCTGTATGTAGATGTAGGACCAATGGACAGGGAATTAGCCTACGTAGCGGCCCTAAAGAGATTGAGGATTGGCTCGGCCCTCCCCAATTCCTTTAGGGCTCGCTCGATCCCGATTAGAACTTCGGGAAGTATTCGGACTTATTTCGGAGATGTTTCACTTTTCCCGCCTTTTTTTTCATTGACGCGCGCGTACCATCTCTCGGTCTTTTAGATCCGAAAAAAAATCACAAACATTTCTTTGTCGAAACATTTCTTTAAGGCTCTGAAACTCTTCATTTCAATGAGAAATTCCAAGTCTCACGACCACTTGTCTTACACTTTCATTTAATGAATAATTTTTTGTATTACAGGTTTTTCAGGCTCTCACATATATTGTTTCGGAGAAATTATTCCAATCTACAAGGCAGGACTTGGATGTCATTGGACTTTTATTTTTAAATCACTGTATGCTGATAATCCTTATGCCAATAACAATATTATTAGATGCTCTTCCGTTCTTTGGAAACGTTGATAGCTTGTCCAAAGTAATTTTGAAGTGAGTATTTCAACGGAGGCTTCATAGTGTTCAAATGTTTACTGTACAGATCATAGCAATTAGCAATTTTAGTCGTTTTTCACATATATATTGGTGATATATTACAGCATTGATCGTTTTCAACCATTCCTTTGAGATTCAAAGGATGAAAGACCAGCGGCCGTGTTGGAGGAATGAACAATAGATACTAATGATAAATCCTTTGTTAAATTTCCTCCAAGATGGCCGCTGTGAGGTAACCTGCAAACGAAGAATAGTCAGTACTAACTATGGTTACAGTAATGCCCTTACAGCTCTCTTTCTCTTTAGTTTATCCTTTGGTGTTCGTTGTTTCTTTGGTAAAGGAGGTTGTTCGTTTTACCCTGCAGTATATGCCATTCTTTTTATTTTATTTTCTGGTGGTTTTGTACTCGGATCGTCGTGTCTTCTTCGCTACTCTGATGGAGCCACTTACATGGTATTAGTACTGGTAATGCACTCTGTGCTAGTTTCCAAATCTTTGTAGTTGTTTAGAATAGACCTCTTAGTCTGAAGCGTTTACGTCATGTATCGAATACGCAATGCATTGTAGGATATGTTTGGGAAGGAACATGGCGGATTTTTTTTTCTAGAAACTGATCCCACAATGCACTTAAAATCAAGTTGTGCTGTAAAAAGTTCAGAAGTCTATTGTTTTCATAAACACGTGACTAAAACCACACTTATGTGAATATATTCTCGTGCGTTGATTGGCTGATTAGAGTGTTGGGGTGTTGGGGGTCTGTGGTAGAGGTAGCACCTTTGTATGTCTGTCTGCTGCATCCGGGAGGATGGACAGGTAACACTNCAGCTCATCAAAGAAACATTGTTTCACTATTATTCGATAACAAGATACTTATAATTAAACCCAGTTTTCTGCAAAAGTGTACAGTTACTTTACTTAAAACGAGAAAACCTCTCAGAAATATCTTTTTTATAAGATATTTTACATATGAATTATACTAGGAGTTTGATAAGTTGTATAAAGAACTCAAGAGCGTGTTTTATCGGCGCTAAAGATTCTCGCCTTCGGCTCGAATCATTATCAGCCGATAAAACACGCTCTTTCGTTCTTTATACATTACTTAAATTTTAGGGTGAACCTTTCTACATTAAGAACCTGTTTCAAATTTTAGGCTTTAAGTAGGTTCTTCTGTAAATGGGGTCTAAATTGATAGTTTTAGACTAACAGGTTCTTAAATTGCAGGTTCTTATAAGCAGGTAAGTACTGTAGTGCTGTCCTTTCATCTCACATACATATTTTTTAAGTGTTTTCTTACTTTTTTCTGCATCTTTGGCCCTTTGTAACTGATAAACCATTTCTTCATTCAGAGATGCCACTTCTTTTCTCAATAACTTATTCTCAAGCTCAAGATTTGAATTCCGGTCCTGTTCTGGGTGATTGACAGCTGGGGCTGGCTGACTGGGCGACTCATGGTTGATTGTCTGTACCACTGGTTCTTTGTTGGATGCTAAGTCTAAACTGAGATGTGGACCTTTATCTTCATCTGTTTTATCCTTGGGGTCCTCTGTTGTCTCTACTGATACAGTAAAAGCAAACATAAACCTAAATATGATGTATTWTTATATAGCTTGAATGTAACACACAATTTCATTGGCTAAAAAGCAGGCCATACTTTCCAAATGAAACAAGAAAAAACGTTTTTTATCTTTAAAAGGGCTTGCTTTTTCTCTTTTTGTAGTTGTACTGTATAAAAAAGAGTCAAAAATGAATCCAAATTTTGCCATCAAGGTTTGTCAGGCTTTTCTTTTTTCTTTCTATTTTGAATGACAAGAAAAGTACGAACAAAAACGTATTTTTATGTCCGATTGTCTATTAATTTTACTATTTTTCCCTGAAATTGCTATTACGGATAACGACGTTAAATCGGAGGTCCTGTCTCTCTACACTTCTCATTAGCATCAGAGGGACGTTAAAGAACCCATACCACTATTCGACTAAGAGTAGGGCACGGAGTTCCCGGTGGTGTGGACAGGGCTCATCTCACCAGCACTGAGGTCGGCTTGGCGTAGTGTTCGTATAAAGGTTACTAGTCAATGAGACCTCATACTAATATACAGCTAGTAACCCAATGAACGTTGCCAAATGCTGGAACCATGTAGATGTAGATGATGTAGATGTAGATAAAGATACGCCTTATTAACTTTACGGCACTTTAAATTTAAAGCGTAAAGCTTTTGTATAATTAATATCTTATTAACCTCGCTTGCTCGAGCCATACGGGAAGTTATGGAAGCTCGTTTTTTTCCACTTTTTATGGCCCACACACTACGCGCTCTGGCCATAAGTCAGTGGAAAAAACCTTGTTCCATAAATTCCTGTACGGCCCTTGCGCTTGGTTAATAAGATATTAGTATTCAAGAATTAAACCTAATTGCATTTARCTGTTATTCAAATTGTGTTGAAAATGCAGGCAAAAGGAAACACTTTATTATCATTTTGTTAAAAACTTTCTCTTCCACTGTTRTATTTTTTGAACTGTACCAAGACTTTACATAATAGTTTATTTCAAATTCAAAAATATGCTGCTTGTTTGATAACAGATTCTCTTGCACAAAGAACTTACCAAACATAAAAGAGAGCATGATAAAATATAGCTATTACAATAGCCTTGAAAATTTGCATTTTCCCTGAGTTAAGACTAACCCTGTATTCCCTAAAGCTTGGATTTCACTAGCGCATAAGCATAGCATAAGCTCAAGCATGAGAATCATATGCACCAGTGAGAACGGGCTCAACATGAGCATAAGACATTGAGCATGCGCACAAGCGTACTATTTCGGTACCAGGCTATGCTTATGCCTATGAAGTCCCGTTCTCACTGAGCATAAGCATGAGATAAGCATGAGATAAACACAAGAAGATCAAGCCTTGCTCGTTTTTCTTGTGCTCATGCTTATGCTTATTTTGAGCCCGTTCTCACTGGCGCATATGACTCGTGCTTCGTGCTTATGACTATGCTTATGCGCAAGCCTTCTGGAAATACAGGGTTAGCCCCAATTCAGGGAAATGTAAATAATTTGTTAGCAGTATTGTACTAACAACATTTTCCCATGTTCTCTTTTGTCTCTTGATGTCTTTAGGTAAGAAAATCTGCTGTCAAATAAAACGGTGGATACTCACTTCAAAAAAATCAAGTATCAAGTTCCTGTTTCAACAACAAACAACAACAACAACAACTTCACGAATATAATATGTACAAGTTAATTACAGTCCTACAAATGGTGTAAAGCTAATCGAGGCAGGACAGTAATATTATTATAAAAATTAATCATTATTACCTTGTGTTTTCTTGCCATCAATCCTATCGGCCACAATACTGGATAATGGCTCAGGTGTCTTTCTTGTCAGACTAGGGCTTGGAGTGTTAGACCTCTTTGGTTTTGAAGTGGGAACATTACTGTTCAGAAACTCAAATAGCTGCTGGTCATCATCTTTGCTATCTTTTCTTGATTGCTTTGAATGCGGTCTAGAAGTTGATGGGGGTCTTGCCTTGATAGGTGCTGTGGGACCTGGTCCTAAAGAAATAATATTATATAAAATGAATAACACTCAAATAAATAATGGTCATTGCTAAAAAGGTAACTTTTCCTGATGAAAAGAACTCAAGATGTGGTCAGCTACATCCTCTAAGGAATAAATCAGTTTTGAATTTGGCAATGATTTAGTTCAGAAGACTTTTATATCTTTGTCCCTTGCCCCTGAGTCCCTGCCCTTGCAGATTTAGCATTGATAGGTGCATTAAAGGCCCAGTTTGCACCATTATGCTTCCATTATGCTTATGTTAAGATTTTAGACAAAAAATACTTCTAGTGTCCAAATCTCACCATAAAAGGAATATCCCATGGTTGAAAACTCTAATATTAGCTTTGAAAGTGATTAGAAAAGTGAGATGGTCAAGATATGAGCAGATTAAAAACGTACAGTACAGTGTTCAGTATAGACTTTTAGTAAACTGAAAATGGCCCCCAAAGCATAATGGTGCACACTGGGCCTTTAATAGGTGCATGTTTCAAAATCACTCTCTCTCTCTCTCTCTCCCTCTTCAGTGTTTGTCTGCTTTAGCAGAGTGGCACTTTTAAATATTATTCTGGAATGAAGACAAACAGATTGATTGTTTAATTGAAATTGTGCTTATTTCTTACTCAGTAAACTGCCTTCACTAGCAGTTCTTGATATTCTAGGTTCATAGCCAATCTCATCATGGCTTTGTTCAGGTTCTTCTCTTGTGTTYACATCCTTTTGCTCAGCTTTTTCATCTCTTTGTAGAGCTGTTGCTGCTGTATTGTCAACTTTTTCAAGGAGAGACTCAGCCTTCCCTGCCAAATCACTCAACCATGACATGACTAGAAACAAAGTATCAAAATATCAACCAAATAATAATAGCAATCATCATTGTCATCATCGTCATCATCATCATAATGCAATAGGCAATGTGAAGAGATGTCATTTTGTGCAGCAAAGCATGATGGTAGTCCTCTCTCCTTTTTGTAAGCCCTTGTCCCTAACAGCCATTTCTATGTTGGAAAACAGTATTACACGTACTACTCCTATTTTTGCTAAAACAAACACAAAACTGCTTTGGAGGACTGTTCTAGCAGACATAAAAAAGTGCAAAGACTACAACTTCCATCATGCTTTGCTGCACAAAATGGCATCATTACACATTGTCTATTTGTTGATGCCAGAAGGAAAGTGCTTATTACATGTAAGGACAAGGTAATTCCAAAGTCCCAGTATCACCCTGGATGCTGCAACTCAAGCTTCAAAATTTAGATGGCTAAACCAACCAATCAATTCTTTCTAAATAAAGACTAAACTCCTGCAAAGCATCCAGGCCTATAAGCAAAAATATATAATGCTGCCTGAAAATATGTGTAATGCACACATGCAATATTTTTTAGACATGCAGCTTCCAATGCATCCTTGAAGTCCTGTATCACCACCATCATCAAGAATCAGAAAGATTTTATCACTGAAGCCTTATAGAATTATAATGTTAACATACAGTTTTTTTGTTTACATCTAAAAGTAAGATAAAGAAAGGACACAAAGAAAGGCTTATGAAAAAAGTACATGTAACTTATATACTTTACATGTAGTGGGTGATTTCTAAGCCTTTTTGAGTGTTTTGTATGATAAAATGCAGCTTAATGTATTTTTTTAATTATTTTATGAAATAGAAAGTTACATTCCCTACACAGAATGCTTTTTCTGGTGAAATATTTTAAAAGTTGAGGTTAGAAGACAACCAGATAATGAGAAGGAAGGTAAGCTAACATCTTTACTGTAAGTAAAGATATTCGATCATCAGATTTAATATATTATATATTTGACCAAAATATGGCAATGCAAAAGTGATTTGCCTAAAAAATAAATTGCCTACTTACAAAACTGACATTAATAAACAAAGTCTTGTTTAAGCTTCGTCGTTCAAGCTGTTCATGTATCATTGATGTTAATATTTTTCGCTTGGCCACAGCTTATTCAAGTTAGAAATCAAACGTGCAGTTAACACAATTTATGCTAAAACTTACTTGAGTAAAATCAATGAAAGAAGAAGTTCTTCTCTTGTTTTACTTTAGTGAACAAACGGAATATTCATTACATTTTCACAATCAACAAATTTCAACTTCATACGTAAACATCCGCCATCTTGGATTGAGACGTGTCGCCCGCTTCTGCGCAATGTCGCACAGGAGCGACCGCTGGGCATCATAAGAAGTTGCTCGGCAACTCACTTTTGTGCGCAAATCAAAAATTCAGAAAATTGGCTCCTAAAAATTATTATGATTTTTTTGCTACTAGTCTATACGTTTTACGTTCTCATTGTGCAAAACTAAAGATGCATGGATTTTTTTATCTTAGACATTTGAATGATTGAAATGTCATTCTCATGTGTTTTAATGCAACATGGCCGCCAAAACCCGCAAATGGAACTACGCCCCAACTACACAGTTTACAAGCTTAATGATCTTAACTTGGCAGAAATACAGAAGATTCTATAAAATTCATGTGATTTGGAAACAGTAAGCATCTGAAATTTGAGACAAGGTCATTTTGTATGCAATATAGTGCGTGACAAACATTTATGTCATGCGATGCCTTATTCAAGATTGACTGCCTTCCAAAGCCTTTCCGTTTGCATAAAAACATGAAATGGAAGATTCAGTGACAAAAAGGATTCTAAATTCKTTTTATGTGCTTTTKAGCGTCGTAGGACAAACTGGTCAAAATGTTATATTACCTTTGTGGATTGACTCAGGTCGGCCGAGAAAGACGACTAACGCAACGATCTCGAACAACACAGATGAATTTCGACCTTTTATGGACCAAACTTTTGTTTCGACGTTTACAACAATCTGCATAGCAATTCTATATGGTACTRCGTGGGCCATCAGAGCTCTCTGCTTCACTAAAAGCAGTGATCAAAGGTTTAATTTTAAACTGATACCTTTAAAATTGTTAGCGTTGACTAGTTCGTGTGGTACAATCACCGACAATTTGATTATGTTTTCCGCAAGTGGAAAAAGAACAGCTCCTTATCTTCAAGCAATATTAACGAACATTACTATTCCTGCAACATTAGTGTTAAGGTAACATACTTTCAGCATTCGCATAGAGTTTTGAGTGCTTATGAATGAGAATTCCATCAGCGCGTACCAAACGAGTTACAACGAGCGTCACAAAGAATTCAAGAGAATCCTCTATCACAGAGTCCCCAACTGTTCATATTGAGTTACTTTGAGCACCGTCATTTAACGCCGTTATCTGAAATTTCGTCGGCCATTTTAACGATCGATAAGAGAACGTACTGAATGCGTTTTGCCAAAAAGCGTTTAGTTTTTTTTCCTACGTAGAAGCAGAATAATTTTATGTCTTTTATTTATATTTATTTATTTATAAGCAATATTTTACCAGGCCACCCAATTCAGCGTAGGCTGGWTTAAATGGGGGCCCTTTTCTAAGAACGACAGCAGAATGGAAGTAAAGAATACAAAAATCATTTGTAGAGAATACAGGAAAGAGATTAATAGAGCGCATTTCGTTGAATGTACAAAGGCACGGAACACAGCATGGACACGACATGGCACGGTCACAGAACCTCGCTTGGTAGTAACGCCGTATAAAATGGTGATTCAAAAACACATCGGTTACTGCTCGATAGTGGCCGTGTCATCATAAGAGCGCGCTGTCAGGGTCTAGTTTTGTACAGAATATTATAGATCACTATGCATTGCACGCAAATAAGTAATAGTACTTCCGGATTAAGATCTAGATTCAACCAAGCGGCTTTGATTGGTCACAGGTACAGAAACAAATATAGAAGGCAATTATTTCATGGTAGCTATATGTCGCTCTAACCTCTTCATTTCTTTTCAAATTCCCATCAAGATATTGCATTCTGAAAAAGTCTCCAACCAGGAAAAAACTTATATGTGCCATAGTAACAGTTCTGTCGTTATTCCTGTGTCTTCTGCCGTCCATTTTACCTGGAATTGACCGAAAATCCAGGAACAACAAAGTGCAAGGTGGTGCTAGGGGAATTGCTGGAATCATATGGCCTTTGATCTTTCTTGCTGCCTTTGTGAGTATGGCATAATGACACTATGTGACTTGACAAATATACGAGGAAAATCTAGATATATAGGCTGTATGTAGATGTAGGACCAATGGACAGGGAATTAGCCTACGTAGCGGCCCTAAAGAGATTGAGGATTGGCTCGGCCCTCCCCAATTCCTTTAGGGCTCGCTCGATCCCGATTAGAACTTCGGGAAGTATTCGGACTTATTTCGGAGATGTTTCACTTTTCCCGCCTTTTTTTTCATTGACGCGCGCGTACCATCTCTCGGTCTTTTAGATCCGAAAAAAATCACAAACATTTCTTTGTCGAAACATTTCTTTAAGGCTCTGAAAATCTTCATTTCAATGAGAAATTCCAAGTCTCACGACCTCTTGTCTTACACTTTCATTTTAATAAATAATTTTTTGTATATTACAGGTTTTTCAGGCTCTCACATATATTGTTTCGGAGAAATTATTCCAATCTACAAGGCAGGACTTGGATGTCATTGGACTTTTATTCTTAAATCACTGTATGCTGATAATACTTATGCCAGTAACAATATTATTAGATGCTCTTCCGTTCTTTGGAAATGTTGATAGCTTGTCCAAAGTAATTTTGAAGTGAGTATTTCAACGGAGGCTTCATCATAGTGTTCAAATGTTTACTGTAGATCATAGCGATTAGCAATTTTAGTCGTTTTTCATATATATATTACAGCATTGATCGTTTTCAACCATTCCCTTGAGATTCAAAGGATGAAAGACCAGCGGCCACGTTGGAGGAATGAACAATAGATACTAATGATAAATCCTTTGTTAAAGCTCCTCCAAGTTGGCCGCTGTGAGGTAGCCTGCAAACGAAGAATAGTCAGTACTAAATATGGTTACAGTAATACCCTTACAGCTCTCTTTCTCTTTAGTTTATCCTTTGGTGTCCGTTGTTTCTTTGGTAAAGGAGGTTGTTCGTTTTACCCTGCAGTATATGCTCTTCTTTTTATTTTATTTTCTGGTGGTTTTGTACTCGGATCGTCGTGTCTTCTTCGCTACTCTGATGGAGCCACTTACATGGCATTAGTACTGGTAATGCACTCTGTGCTAGTTTCCAAATCTTTGTAGTTGTTTAGAATAGACCTCTTAGTCTGAAGCGTTTACGTCATGTATCGAATACGCAATGCATTGTAGGATTTGCTTGGGAAGGAACATGGCGGATTTTTTTTTCTAGAAACTGATCCACAATGCACTTAAAATCAAGTTGTGCTGTAAAAAGTTCAGAAGTCTATTGTTTTCATAAACACGTGACTAAAACCACACTTATGTGAATATATTCTCGTGCGTTGATTGGCTGATTAGAGTGTGTTAATATTAGCATATACCCAGTGCTGACACCATCACGTATGAGCGCACCAGATTAGTTGAAAGAAAAGAATGATTCTTCGTTTCGCTAATTTTTAAACAAAAAAAATGTTTTGAAAAACTAAATTCAAACGGTTTTTGGTTGCATGTCCTCTTATTGACACACTCTTCGCTTAATAAATGTTCCGCAAAACTGGGCTCGTGAGTTCTTTGGATTTTTGAACATGTGACGTCAGGAATGTGTTAAAAGGAGGGTCATGCTCAATTTCTTAAAATTTTAGCAGATATGCAGATAATTTATCGTTTTCAACAATTCCCATGAAATTCAAAAGATAAAACGCAGGCGGCCATTTTGGAGGAAGGAACAATAGATTCTAATGATAAATCCTTTATTGCTCCAGTGACGTATAGTGAAAACGAGGACTCCCAGCATCTAGACTTAAAAAATGTATTTATTTCATTCCTCATATCATTAAATATAGGTTTTGGCAACCCCTCTTGGATTCTTCTTTTGGACTCTTTTTAAAGAACAACCAACCCTCCACTGGGATCCTCAAATGAGYGYYACCACGTGGYTGAATATTATAGGACTTGTATTCATGGTGCCGGCCATTTACATCTATAACACAAAGTGAGTAGATTCCATTGCACTCAGGTCTTTTGGAACCGAATATTGGCATTTTATTTAGATTGAATTCGGCACTAACAGTAACTAATATGTATTTCCTAACAGTAGCACATAGTGTCTTAAAACTGAAGGGCAATCAGTCGAGCCAAGAGTCTTTACGKCTAATGTCAGCGGTATGCATGCGCAGTGAGTGCCTCACTCCCAAGAGGAAAAATGCGGGCGCACTTTTGGTCATCGATTTCTTTTCATCCAAAATGGAGGGGTTTGTTTCTCAGCATGACGGACCTTTATCATAGAGCGGATTTCGTATGAGTGGGAAACGGACGGTACTGTACGGTGACCGTAATCGTACTGTAACCAAATTCTMGTGCCCCATTGGTTCACAAAAATTCTGCAGGCCAGGTTCGGTAACTGTGCGGTAACGTTGTCCCACTCATACGAAATCCGCTCTATGACAATACTAAAAAACATTATAAAAACATATCACATGACGCATGAGAAAAATTTTGATTTAAATGTTTAGAATTAAGATCTTTTTAGTATTAAAGTCATGTGCAGAAGTCTCCCTTTCGTCATTTGGAGACTGCTCGCAGCTGTTATATTTATAACTATGTAAGAAAAATGGCTGTCGGAAAAATGGAGAATGGCAAGTTGTCAAACGGGGATTGCACTGACGACAGAAAGGAGTAATGGGTTTGCTAATTGATGTAAAATAACTCAGTTTTAACACCGAACAACACACCCAATCTCAAGCTCAGAGTCTTCACGGCTAATTTCAGCAGATGTCTTCTGGATGGCAAAAGTGCGTGCTCTGAGTACGAGATTGCAACACACTTTGTTATTTCTATCGAATGCTCTATTAGTCGACCGCTGACATTCAGATGAATACAGCGGACTCAATTTCTCAATCAGTTTTTCTCTCGTCAGGTCGAACGAGAAAAGAGCACAGGAAGACCAACTAGAAGTGGAGACGACTCCTTTGTTGACTTGAATGGCTCCTTTCAAATTGATTCCTCTTCTGAAAATAATTTATAAGATCATTACTGTTTTTCCAGCGTAACAGAAAAACGATACAATTTCAACGTTTACATCGCAAGAATGGCTAGTTAAAAAATTAATTTAATTAAAAGGATAATAAAAGTAAAAATATGTTTTTGTTTTGTTTTGTTTTTGTGTTTTTTTTTTCGTACGAAATCGGTCTAAAGAAATGTCAGGGCGTCCAGCAGTTTAGRCGATTAGTTGCCGGGTCCTAATCAGCCAGTACGTGGAGCCCCTTAATCTTTGATATCTTCCCTATAAGTCCGTGCCATTGTAAAATTCTCAAGTCTTTTGTTTCGTCTGTTATATGGAACATTAGCCATTTATTGCATTACAAATTTCTAGACTCTATATGCCCACCACATCAGTGTCGGATTCATGAAAAATGGAAAATCTATCAGGAAACAAGTTTTTAAATGCTTTTTTGTGCGTTTTTGTGCGTCGTGTGTCGGACGGGACAAACTGTAGTGTTTCCTCTTTGGATTGACTCAGGTCGGCCGAATAATGTAACGATTACAGATGGATTTCAGCCTTTCATGGACCAAACCTTTGTTTCAACGTTTACAGCAGTCGGTGTATTAGTTTTCTATGGCTCAGTGTTCAGCTTCAGGACAGTTTTCTACCTAAAAAGTGGTGAAAGGTTTAATTTCAAAGCAATTCCGTTAAAGGTTTTTGCGCTGGCTGCCTTGTGTTTTGCAATCACCGATAATACGAAGATGTTTTCAGCAAGTGGAAAGAGAACAACACCTTATCTTCAAGCAATACTAACGAACATTACTATTCCTGCAACATTAGTGCTAAGGTATAGAGTGATTGCACTTAAACCGTGCAACTGTACAAAATCTAAGTAGTACTAATTGATACTAAAGGTGGACCTGAAGCAAGACGGTATTGAATGTTTCATGATTTGTATCAATTCAATTTAATTTGTATCCTAATTCACTAGAAATGCGTCCGGTGTCTTATTTTGATTTACTAGAAATGCGTGTTGTGTCTTTATTTTACAACCATTATCGATCGTTGAAGTGCAACCCACATGTGCGATTTACTAAATACAATTAAATAGAAACAACGTAAAAGTCCGCATCAAATAGTGCTAAGTATCGCAATAAGTGTACGCATTAGACAATGAAAACAATTTGCATAATTCATAGTACAATTTAGCATTATTTAATTCTTAAGTTTTTTCATCAAGCGCACTCCAGATGATAAAATTCTCTGTCCATAGTCTCCTTCACGGTTCCCTGGGCCATCTTGAAAGGTAGCCGTGCCTTTACGTCGACGCAAGACAACCTTGAGCGTGCAATGGTCGTCAATGATCAACGGTCGTATCTTTTCGATGCAAAAGGCACGGCTATGACGTAATTTTCAGTTTTCTTTTTTTCCGATCGATAGCTGAACACAACGGGCTCAATTTCTCATCCAGTTTTTCCTTTTTAGGGAAAACCAAGAAATAGCAGAACAGGAAGGCAAAAAAGGAGTGGAGACAAGTCCTTTGCTAAAGCCTACCTCCGCTAAAAAGAGACCATAAACAAAGGAATGTAAACAAGGCCTAAAGCCCTGCAGAATCTAGGGATTCCATTAACCGGAACTTTTTTGCTTCTGGTTAAATTCAGTTAGAATATTTTTGAATTCGTAATCTCCTTTTTTTGTCGTAAGCATGTATCATTGCATAGAGCCTGTCGCTTCAGAATTTTTCACTGTTTAATAATAACAACAAAATGCGCTCTCAGGCGACTATTTTTTTACGAAACGTCAGTTTCCGATGGCAACAATCACAGCATAAGAACTCGTGTAGCAGTTAGTTCGCGGTCGACTGTAGATTCCTCTCTTTTTTCATTCTATTACTTATTGTATGAAAATAAATATTGTATTGCATTGTACTCAATATCCCAATCATCACGTATACCAAGGCTTATATTGATTATATTCTATCAACACTGTTATTTGCAAAAGTTGAAATAACTCCATCAGTGGGCTTCCTTCCTTTTTGTATACATTTCGCGTGAACTTTCTAATTCTGCTATTCTGAAATATAAATCGCAATAATAAYGCAATTGTACAACGAAAATGAAATGTTTTGATCAAATCTTTTGTATTTAACGTATAAAATCGTCAATATCTGAGCCGAAGAAAACCGCTGGTCAATGACCCAAATTTCTGGCAATGCTAAAGAACTAAAGGTACTTTGCCAACAGAGTACCCCGTCGAGAAGCAAAGAGAGAAGGAATCTGTACTATGAGATAAACATACTAACATTTGCGATTCGCATGTCGCTCATTCGCGACTTTTAAAATCTCTTAAGCGTGCAAAATGTTGCAGGTACATAATGGTACGATTTGCTGATATGGGTAAGATATAGGGCCCGGGGTTTGAGTACAATATCGGGGGTGCGAGTGTAAAATGTCGGGGAGGGCACGGATACAGTTGCGTATTGGGATAAAATTTCGGTGGATGTGAGTTCAATTTCGCGTCGGGTGTTGTTACAATGTAGATGGGCACGGGTACAACGTCCTGGGTATGTGTTTTGTTAAAATGCCATGGGTGCCGGTCACCGTCACGGATATAAAATGGGGGGGCAAAATGTCGGGTGTATGATACACTTTCGTGGGTGTTGGTACAATGTAGGGGCTGGGGGTGAGTGTGTGATGTCGCAGACACGTGAAAATGTCAGACTATCGTAGGAACGAAAGTGAATACAGTCAACTCTCGTCTTACGGGCACCCCGCTACAACGGGCACCTCGATATTACGTATACAAAATACTGAATCCCTGGCGAAAAATACAAAGAAACGACTGAAAGTAACTCTCGTTACTACGGACTTTCGCTACTGCCGACGTTGAAGACATTGAATTACGGTCCCGAGGGTGTCCGGCGAGTGTTGACAGTAAATGACCGTCATTTACTGTCAACACTCGCTATTACGGACGGACATTTGCTTCATTATAATGTCGTTAGTAACGTTTTTTCCCGTAATTTCCTTTCCAGGTATTGTATTCTGAAAAAGTCACCAACCAGGAAAAAACTAATTTGTGCCACAGTTACAGTTTTGTCACTATTTGTGTCTTTTACCGTCCATTGTTCCTAAAATTGTCATTTGGCCTTTGATTTTCATTATCGCTTTTGTGAGTACAAGGATTCAAGGCCTTCCCTTAACGGTCTATTCTCCCAAACTTCAAATTTCCATTTTACATTCCCTATTTCAAACTCATGCAAACCAATTTACTAACTTTCGAAGGATCTGGATTTTGTGTTTGTGCGTGAACAAAGGCACGGCTAAATTGCATAATGACATACCCAGCAATCCCAGACAAAATTCCAATATCTGATACCCTAACCCACAGTTAAAAGACTATAACGTTTGCCATGGTTATAATACAATGGATATACTACAAAGACCCAAACATATACTCCAAATCAGGCGCAAAATACTACATGTATATAGCAATATAGTGGAATGTTCTATTGCTCTTCCTCTTCGGGCAGAAATGACGGAAATTTCAGACACGCTGCTTACACTCATGACCACTACATCGAACGCTTTAGCACACAACACTCCTCACAGCCAGTTATTTTTCACTTAGGGATGAAAATCAGCGTCCCGGAGAAAAACCCTCGGAGCAACGCGTTTTGACATATTATTTCTCATTTCAGATTTTCCAGGCCCTAACGTACATTGCTTCAGAGAAATTACTTCAATCTACAAGAAGCCTGACTGTAGTCAGTGTGTTGTTCTTAATGCAGTGCTTGATGTTTGTCTTTACGTTGTCGTCAATATTTTTAGATGCTCTTCCATTTTTTGGAAATGTAGATAACTTGGCCAAAGTCGCTTTAAAGTGAGTATATTGAGGATGTTACATGAGCGCGCGGAGATACGGATTTTATCTTT